CGTTGACGTTTGAAACATTAGCTTTACGCGCCTACAGTTTGCCTTTCTGTCCTTCTCATTTGGATTGGTGCCTATAACTGCATCTGTGGATTAGCGATGCACGAGCGGCTAGTCGTGAGTATAATATTCTCAATGCATTCGCAAGACTGAGAGTGACACAAAGACCACATTAAGGAAGAGCCATAATATGACGACGTTCGTTGTGGAATCAGCCCTGCCGGCAGTCGGCGACCTTCCGGGTCACGACTTCGAGCACGTCGCGACGGATGTAAGCGCGTCAGCTTTCTGATATTGAGAGAGGCCATGATCTACCGTGACGATGGATTCCACGAGCACAGTGTCTCCCTCGGACATCCATCGCGCAGGCACTAGTCGACTGTTCGAACCTCTCAACCAACTGGTGTGTGCAGTGGCCAACATGACGTCAGTTTCTCTCGAGGGCGTGGCCCAGTCATGTGAGACAGTAATTATAGGTTCTTGCGAAATCATTGAAGTCCGTTTGGAGGCAGTGCGGGGGCGTGGCATATGACAAGCCCTGGGAGGTAGCAAGGGGGTCTTTATTAGTGCCCGTCGCCGTTTATCTGTGAGTGAAACTGCTACTGCGACGTCACTGAAGTTGAAAAATAAGCAGGTCGTGCAATTCTGCAATTCGCAGCTATATAGACGGGGGAATTTGAAAAAAGCAAGTTGCCTCAAATGGGAAAGTCAAATATAATTTTTGATTATGTGAGATATCAAGAAGAATTAAGGTTTTAGGAATGAATGTTCCTAAACACTGCTACCTCTGCAGACTGAACCTCAATGATCGAACGAGTCAGTGTTTGAACAAAATTAGGACAAAAAATGTACCAGTACGCTGTATGTAAAGGTGCATATACGTAGTAAAGTGTTTCACCACCCCACATTTGCCAGGCATTGATTGGCGTTACGAGTCAATAAAGTTTCCCAGACAGTCGTCTAACATCGGCAGGCTATCAGAAGTCACTTATTGGATGGGCATTCTTAGAATAATGAACACTTTGACAATTAGAACCTACGAACCAGTACTAGGATGGAAAAAATGTTTGTAGTGTTTTTTGGGTTTCACAGTTACATGTCTCAATGTGGGAAGTCGAACCAACAACTAACCTGCTAGACACTTGTACGCTGAATGTTTTTCAACGACAACGACACTTTTGTTAAAACAGATTAGCTATTTCAAACAAAAATGATTACCTCGAGTCTTCGCTTTCTCACCAGTCTGCGGAGACCGTTTTAACTTTGAAAAATCAGTCTCTGCCGACAGACACGGAATATTTATTAATCCGCATAGCCGGAGCGCCGGATTAAGCCAACCCAGGTTAAGAGCTTTTCAGAAGTCAAACATTTTAGTAATTTTGTACAAAACATCTGCCCTCATAAATCACTTCTTTTCCATGTTCCGTGCTGTAAAATGTTATAGCTGGTTTATATTTTGAAAAATATGATTTACGGACATTTACCATTTCCATCAGCGCTTTTCGGCTGCACCTATCTCTACCTTAGGCCCCAACTTTTTGATATGATCGAAAAGAGTTTGAAAACGCAGCTCAAGGATAGATTCTCTGGGATTCTAGTTAAAAAAGGGGAGAAAATGCATAAAAATACTAGTAACTTGCTCCGATAAAATATTCTGCAGTGAAAAAGGAAAATTCGGGACTAGCATGATTGTTATCCAAGCCGTTAAGAAATAATTCGAGCACTTATGAACCTGTCTTAAGAAAAAATGACTTAGGAATGGAGAACCTTAGTAGGAGCTTAAAATCATGTATTTATCATCGCCTTCCCGTTTATTGTATTGACACCTTTTGAAACAAGGAGTCTGTTGGTGGCAGGATACTAGGTGAAAGCGGTTTTACCAATATAATTGGCTTGATCACGGCAGCAGTCTATCCGGTAAATGACTCCCGATTTCTGATTGATGGGAATCGGGTCCTTAGGTTGCATGAGTTGCCAGCGGATTGTTACTTCAGATCGGTGGGCGACGCCAATCCCAAATTCGTTCATCAGTCTAGCGAATTCTTCTGACACACTAGCTATGTAGGACACTGCTCGCCAGCACTTCGGTCTCGGCTGCCTCTTCGGTTTTCTTTCCGGGGTTACTCGCCTACACTTTTCGACAAAATCCCCAGGGTAGACGTCCACTGCGAAGAGTTCTCATAGCAACTGGACCTCGGCCATCTTGTCAGCTGGCTCGGTGCAGTGGGTTTTATACACGCCAGTAATGTTCTCATACAGCTGCTTTTATTCGAAAGGGGTGGTTGCTGGGAAGACTTGGAATACGAGAGAGATTCTTCGTCTTCCTGTAAACCATTGTTTTTACTTTCCCATCGTCTTTTCACTGATCGGATACTTCGAGAAACGGCAAACGGCAATCTTATTCCTCCTCCATCGTGGACAGGGTGTCTGGGAAGATTGAGTTTAGGTGTTGCGTGAATTTCGCAATCCTATCCCGATTGAGAATAACAAGGCCCGTATCTGTCACTGTCTCTGATGATAGGTTCGAGCGAGAATCCGAAATGTCAAGCGAATAAAGCTCTAATTAAATAGGGTTGTAAAACTGGTTAACCTGCAACATCATTCTATTATATTTCAGTTACCCTAGAATGCCGGCTTTCGAATGAACTTCCTCCCGGCTGCATGCAAAAACTATACTCTGTAAAAAATGGCTGCTTAACTAGCATGAATCTTCTCATTCATTTTCGATGCCCTAAATGTCCAATTATATTTCATGGAGAACATTCATAAAAATATTAATTCATTTGCTCATTTGGTAGATAATTACGTCTTCTTCCATGTTTATACTCAAAGAAAGGGTAACATTCGGTTTTCTAAAACCTTCCCAATTCCCGAATAATTTTGAACGCGCTCTACCGTTACACTTGGATTCAGGGTTTTCAAATTACAAGTCGTATATTTTCCGAGTACGGAAAACCACACATTTCTCTACGGTAATAAAGGGGAACCATATAGGGATCATAAAATTTAACAGTGGATTTGATTTACATTGCCATCTTTACGAGCCACACTGGTAAATGCAGAGACATGTCTATTTATGAACGGCCATTTCAGATATCTAAAAGTCTCATAATTAGAAACTTTTTTAACACCCAATTATATCCATCGTTCGAGTATAAAATTAAAAGAAGACGTAATTATCTACCAAATGAGCCAAAGAATTAATATTTTTATGCATGATTTTCATGAAAAATAATTGGATATTTAGGGCATCGAAAATGAATGAGAAGATTCATGCTAGTTAAGCAGTCATTTTTTACAGAGTATAGTTTTTGCATGCAGCCGGGAGGAAGTTCATTCGAAAGCCGGCATTCTGGGGTAACTGAAATATAATAGAATCACGTTACAGGCTGACTAGTTTTACAACCTTATTTAACTGATCTTTTCGAAGCGAAAACTCATTTCGGAGTTTCGGTTGACATTTCGTGAGTTAGCCCACCGACTGTATGCGTCTGCTATGCCATATTTCAGCAAACCCTGGTTCGCGCGGTTAGGTGTGCGCTGGCAGTTCTCTTGCACCTGCTTCCCTACCTGCCGGTGGATGCATTTGGGCTCCCATTGGGTCGTGCACATGTTTGTCCGGTGACTTGTGTCATCCTCCTCTTTCTGACCCACATTTATGGTTAGTTAAAGTCCTGGTCAATTGTTTGTTGTGGACCAGGGGATGTGGTGGTACCCCTAGGTGCGGGTTCAACCGTGCCAATCACCTGTGCACTCTCTCACCTTCAGCCTTATTGACTGTGTCTTGACGCCCGGCACGGGTGAGGCGGGAGGAGAGAGTAGGCTAAACGCTGTGCAAGTCCACTATCACTACAAACTTGTTCATGCACAAGTCACCGTGTCTGCTCTCACCTTCCTGTAGAGTTCAGGGTGGACACCGTTGTCAACGAGGGTCGAACTGTCTATGTTACATGGGTGTCAATACAACAGGTCACGCGGAAGATGCGTTGAACCAAAACAACGATAGGATCAGTGTACGACCTCGTAGCGAATGCCATTCATGTGGAGGCGGTGGGGTGGAACGTATAGGCGCAAGCTCACGCCGCGCCAACTCCCTGCGCTCGATCCCGCCTCCGGTCTTCTTAAATCCGCCCAGGACACCGGACTCAGATGGGTGAGGGACGGAAGAGTGTGGTAGACGCTGCGTAAGTTTACTACAGTTTACTACACACTGGTGTACGCGCAACTCACAGTCGCTGGGCCCCATGTTCTGGGGGCTACGGTGAACATCGTCGGAGACGACGGTCGAACTGTCTTTATTACACGTAAAAGGACAATTAACGACCACATACTGTTGTTCTCCTTTTGTTTTTATTTGGTACTACACTGTTAATGAAACTTTTTTGTTCCAAACTATTAGATATAATATTAGCTACATGCTTCCGATACGTCCGTTGACCCAAATCATATATTTAAATGCAAAATTGTACTTTAATCAATAAAAGGCAGTTTATATACCGCACCGTGTGTTTCTATCAGGTGGGAACTTTTCCTGACGGAGCAGGGTTCTGGGCCAGGCAGAGGACGTTTCTGCAGCGCTGGGGTTTTCGTGCAATATTTCGCAACATTTAGGAAAGTATCGAATAAAACACGCCCTACTTAAACACATACAGTAAGCATTCTTTGCGCGCCGTAGATACTTGGGGCCTTCACTAGATCCTTACCCATTTAATAAAGTAAATCACCCATTCTGCGTCCTTTCCTGAACTGTGTGCTGAAGTTTCCTGCAGTTGCTAATATGGTGATTTGTACGACTGCTCTAGGTGGCGATTCAAGCACTGACAAAGCATTACTGTCTAAGTTCATTAAGACCAAACCGTACTTGACTTAAAACTGGCGCATAGTCGTAGTTTACGGTTGATATAGAAGAACCCGTAAAGTAGTTTCATGAATGAGGGGATAAATTATAAAAAGTGACAATTAAGACATAAAAAAACAATAAAATTCTGAATGTCCGTGTTTTCTTAAAGCCACCTGTTCGAGACGATACCAGGGCCCTCCTCTTCATACTCCGCTCGGGTTATGCACATCTTTTTGAAAGTGCTGAGTGAGGCAAACACCGACCCGCCCCACCAGACTGACAACTCCGAATGGGGATTTTTCTTTACCGTGTCCAGCAGCTTACTCGCCGTCCTATTGAGCAGACACTGTTTGAGTCGACTCGAGAAACCGGGCAACTTCAGGCTTCCGCCAGACGAAAAGACCATTCTGAGGAGGGTGTAGGCTCGATTGTCGGGTACGCTGAAGACCGCGTCTATAATCGACTGGTCGACGGGAGGTACATCTGCCAGGCCAGCCAGTGAGGGATTAAACAACATCTCTGACCCCATCTGCAGCTCGCTGCTGAGAGTGATCTGCGAGCCGTCCGGCAGGATGCAAGTGGTGCGTTTCCGCAGGCTTGTGGAGGTCAGGGTTGGTGCCACAGAGCAGTAGTGCCTCTTGATGTAAGCGACCTCCTCCGTGCTCAGTTGGCGGAGAGCCTTGGGGCTGAGATGCATAAGGTAACGATCGAGATCCCGGCCACCAAGCGGGAGTAGGAGCTGGCTCTCTGGCACGGGATAGAAGTTGAGCATCCCCATGACACTGGTGTACGTGTAACCGCAGTCAACCACTGTGCAGGTGGCTGCACCTGTGGCGTAGCCTGCCAGCAGGGGTTGAGAGATGAAGAAGATGGAATTCGCGCCGATGCCCTCCATGACTGACTCAGCCATCTGGCGTCGGAATGAGTCACGCATCTGAAGGGGGACTGCCAGACAGATATCAGAATCTTGTGGATGGCATTTCAGCCGCTGCAGCCCGTGGCGAATGTAGTGATCGTAGTACTGGACTGCACTCTCAGTTTCCTCAATGCCGATCACGATCCCATCCTCTATGATGGCTGTCTGTCAGGGGGGGGGGGGTAGAAGTAAGAGCTTTGCATTAGCTTCTTTTCATCTTCTTCATGAGAGCACTGTGTAGTCCCCAACTAAAAAGGGTTATATCTACCGCTCAATCCGCCTAAAACGCTCTCTAGATTGTCCGATGATTGTTCTTGCCTGCCCATTGACAGACTCACTTTCGGGACCATGCGACATCTTTCTCTGGGCGTGCTGAAATAGTCTGGGCCCTGCATCGGCTGATAGATGCAATTACTGAAAAGCTGACCAAATTTGAGCAGTCTGATGCAAAGAAATTGGCATATTAAGTGAACTCTCTTTGAGGCCTAGATAAAGCTCCTGCTAATGGTACCCATGAAGACATGATGGTACGTTATTACCGACAAAGACAAGGGAGACTGAAATAGCCATTTCTGGCTTATTAGACGTCGCCAGCCAGTCATACCCAACCCCGAAGTGTAGAACATCCGAGGCTCGAACTCGCGACCTGTTAGTTAGAAGTCCCCGCCTCTAACCACTGGGCCCGTCCTCCTGTGGGTTTCGATCGGGAATATACATTGGTTGGGCTCGAGAGAGAGAGAGAGAGAGTCCGTAAGGCACAACGGAACGAGTGAGTTCCGCAAGAGCGATCGGTTAGCGCCCCCTACCATTGTATATTCCCGATCGAAACCGACAGGGCAACGGGCTCGTGGCTCAGCGGTTAGAGGCGTGGACTTCTAACTAACAGGTCGCGAGTTCGAGACCCAGGTGTTCCACACTTCGGGGTTGGGTATGACTAGCCGACGACGGCTAAAAAGCCAGAAATGGCCATTCCAGCCTCCCTTGTCTTTGTTGGTAATGCGGAGTAGAAGGTTACCAGCTTGAATCTTATGATTGAATCCGTTGGTGACAGTTATTTCCTACTGAAAGGCGGATAGACATGGCGTTCAAGTGCATGGAGGCTGGTTAACTGGAAGTTACTGTCATTGAGCATGTAGTAGTTGTCGTCTGTCAAACAAGTTTGGCGAGATTTGGTTATGCAGGCCCACATGATTGATATCATAGGGCTAGCTTCTCAGAACAATTTTAGTAAGTGCGATTACGTTGATTGTACAAGCAGCAAACGATTGCACCTTCCATACCATTATAATGCAACGGGGACTGTGCCACGGAGAGGAGAAGTGCTTACGCGCCATCCTCGTTTACTTCAGGTATCAATTCACAGGCTCTTCCCTGCGCACGCGTCTGGAGTCCTGCTTGCGCTCTCTTTACTATCCGAATTCAGCAAGTGTCTAAGCAGGCTTGCTAATAGAATTTTTCGGGCGGATTGGAACCCCGTTCGTTCGACTTCAGTTGCCATGAACTGCAAATTACCACGCGGTCCCCTCCGTGGCCTTCCAATTGTGATTGCACCCTCCTTATCTAACTAATGCAGCTAGTAACTGTTTCGTTGGGAGAGTGCGTACACGCGACCTTCAAGCGCATCCCTGCGCGTGCTTCGAGCTCGGCTTGCGCTCTCTTTCCCCTCCCAATCTAGCGAGTGGCTAAGTTAGGTGTGTTAATTAACATTGTTTTAGTAAGCTAACCATATGGTATTAAACAAGCAGGGTTGCAGAACCAAACCTCGCTACAAGTTTGAAAATTCTCCACGTCTGTCTTTCGTGAACTTTTATCAAACTGACGTGCATGTTGTTCCCTACCTTCATTGTTTTCCCCTGGTCCATCTGAACTGTACTTCTTTGTTTATCCAGCTGTTGACTTTGACCTCATATCTGAGAGTCACCCCCTATTGCTTAAAATCGTTCCTATGCGCGCGTGTGATCGACCCACGCTACCTTATGCATGTTTTTTACTGTCTAGGGGCAGGCGTTAGCTTCGGCCGACTCCTTTGATCTAGGTAAGGACGTCTACTCTTGAGGTTTGACCCTTGTTTATCCTTGATTATTTGCTAAAATTATCGCAGAAAACCCAACTGCGGTTTTTATTGTAATCTGGCATACGAGTTAATTTAGGATACCGAGTTGTCAATCAAAGTAGTTACTCTCCATCGAGCACGGAATATATCCTCTGGTTCAGCAAAAAACCGGTCAGGCATTGTCCCAAAGGACATCGATTGTGTAGCACTGTTCAGTGTAAAAAATAACTTACTTTAGTTCATAGATCTGGGAGTGAACATCCACATCCACCTGTCGAACACACTAAGTTATGTTTTCGAGATAATGCCTGGCAATAAAGTTGTGGCTTGGTAGTTTGTTGCGGGTCATCAACTTGCCTAATCAATACCTAGATATGTGTAAACTTATAACTTCACTGGTTATGTTGTCACATCTGAGGTAGACGAAAACGCAGTCGCCTGTAATGCGGAACTGGTGGTAATAGGGGTTTTGCAGATGGGGCCGGAGAACGCACAGGCGAGGAGGTCAAGTAATTGTATGCAAAAGAAAACCTATTGGAAATGCGCGGCTGTACTTTAAGTGGTTGATTAGTAGTTGCCCCAATTCCTAACCCCTAACAGTGTTGTGTCCGTCAGGTGCAGCTGCATAACCACAGTGGATCTTCTGCGAAGTCGTAACTGCCTATTTACCAGCCCGTCGAACCTGCCTGGGTCGGAGATGGTCTTTGTTGAAGGTCGCTTCAATGCCTGCCAAGTGCGCAACCAAGGTAGCCCCATTTAGGACAGAAGATATGATTAATTATTTAGGGGGTTCTTGTTGCCCAGAACCAGTACCTACGTTAAAAGCCTGAGATGAGGACAAAACTCCTAACCAATAACTGCATCCCCGGCAATCTGTGATATACTTCAACTAGTCATAGGTTGAGAAAAAAATTCAAGTTAGAAAAAAGCTGTTTCTGAAGCTGAGCGTGTGTTTGTCATAACAATCTACGTCGTGTAGAGTTAGAAGCACTAACTGTTACGAAAGACGGACGTACTGTTATCTGCATAGGCAGCACGATATGCTATATCAAAAAATAAAGGCTGTCAATGGACCACATGAGCCGACATCCGATATGGCCGCCTCGTGCAACAACGACTGGAAGAAATGCAGGACGCCTAAATATCGCGCAAGACCGAGGAAATGAAGGAATATGCTGACTACAAGGAAGCAAAGAACTTCTTCGCATCAGTCGACGTGATCCACAGTCCCACAACTAACGGAACCACGACGCTTCTCAGCGCCGATGGAACAACATTTCTGATGGAAAAGTCGCAGGTTCTGAAGCGTTGGGTCGAGCACTTCAGAAGTGTCTTCAACCGCACATCAACAATCTCCAACATCGCCGTCGACCGAAACCCTCAAGTGGAAACGAACAAAGACCTAGATCTTCCACCTCCTCTCTTTTAAACAATCAAGACCGTGCATCAGCTGTTCAGGGGGAAGTACCGGTATTCAAAACGATCCCGGCCGAAGTCTACAACCACGGCACTCTCCGGCTGACGGATTAGCTTACAACGTTATTACAGGAGATTTGGCTCCGAGAACAAGTCCCTCTGGTCTTTAAGTATGCGGTAATCACCCACCTCTACAAGCGTAAAGGGAACCGGCAACCCTGTGACAACCCCAATGAAATCTCTCTTCTCAACATCGTTGAGATCTTCGCTCGCATTTTCCTCAACAGTCTAAACGGCCATCTCGAACTTCTGCCGGAAAGTCAATATGGAATCCGACGATACCGCGGAGCCACCAATATGATCGTAGTCCTCCTCCTCCAGCTGTAAGGGAGGCGCCAGCAAGTGCGCACCCACCTCTACATTATCTTCATGGTAATACCGAAGGCCTTCGACACGGTGAGCGACGATGGACTTTGAAAGAGCATCCCGAGATATTCACGCACATGGTGCGTTAACTGCACGGGAGGATGGTGGTGCCTGCCACGGATAACGGAACCGTCTCAGAAGCATTTTCAATAACCAACTCAGTGAGGCAGGACTACATATCAACCCTAACCCTCTTCAACATCGTGTTCTCTGCCATTCTGATAAACGCCTACCGTGATGAGCGTCCCGGGACACGCATCGTCTACAATACCGACAGGCATTTTCGCAACTGCCGGCGTATTCAGGCCTCAACGCGTCTCTTCGTGACTACTGTCCGAGACCTGCTCTTCGCTGATGACCACGCACTCACCCCCGAGACGTAAGCTGACATGCAATAGAGCACGGACCTCTTTGCCGCCGGCTGCGCCATCTTCGGGCTGACCGTCAACACAGACAAAATGGTGGTCATGCATCAATTGCCTCCCAACTTTGCATACAGTGTTCCTGGCATCCACGTCAATGACTGTGGACTGCTTCACCTGCCTAGGTGGCATACTTTCACGCTGCATCAAAATCGACAACGAAGAGGCCCACCGGATCTCCAAAGCTAGCCAGGCCTTCGACCGGCTGCAGACCTCCGTGTGGAATCGTCACGGTCTCCACCTCAATTCCCATTCCTCTAGGCTGGGCTGAGAAAATATCTGCTTCTTGCTGGAGCAGTGGCCTATAAAGTTTCACTTTGACCCAAGTGTGAAAACCTGGGCGCCTCAGTGGGATGCGAACCCACGACAACAAGGGGAGGCTTTAGTACAGCTCGCGCTCTAGACACCTAACCTATGAAGTGCCACCTAAGCGCCGAGTTAGGGGCCTCGTAGCTCAGGTTATTAGAGCGATGACAAACACCGAGGTCTCTCCTTGCTGTCGTGAGTTCGAGTTCTACTGAGGCGCCGACTTTTTTTACAGTTGGATCAAAATGAATTATTTAAAATCTGCCATAACACCTATTAACCATAAAGTTTCGTCTGGGCGGTTGTAGGCCTGGCTTTTCTAGACGTATCACCCCAGCGGACACTGGAAGGTGGAGAGAGAAAACACCGATGAATTCCTGTTCGGTAGCACTGTCGATCCGTCGGTCACACCTTACCTACGGACTGTCATTATGGTGTCTGCACAGCCTGGTAGGTGTATTGAGGAGCAGGCAGTGTGCGGCACGCGCAGAGGTCTAGCTGCGTTAAGCACAGTGCTGACGCCCGCTTCCAGTCTTGACATTGATTGGCAGTCGTAGGATTGCGGGTTAGGAAGGAAAGAATGCGGTAGGCGTCGTCTCCACAAGTCATTTTCGGAGTAAACTAATTTAAACACAAGTCGATAGTGCTGCGCCCACTGGGTGGCATGCGTGCAACGATTACAGTGGGTGTCTAATCCATGAAATGTCAACCAAAATTCCTACATGCCTTTTCGTTTCGAAAAGATTGATTAAGTAGGGTTGTAAAACTCGTCAACCAGCAATATAATTCTATAATATTTCAGTTACCTCAGAATGCCGGCTTTCGAACGAGCTTTATTCCGACTGCAGGCAAAAACTACTTAAGTAGCATGAATTTTTCTCATTGATTTTCGATGCCCCTAACAGTTCAATTATATTTCACGGAAAGCACGCATAAAAATATTTATTTTTTCGCTCCTTCGGTAGATACTTACGTCTACTTCCAATCTAATACTCGAAGGAAGGGTATAAATCGGATTTCAAAAAGTTTTCCAATTGCCGAATACTTTTGAACCCCCCTCTACCGTTATACTCGCATTCGGGATTTCCAAACTACAAGCCGCATATTTTCCGCGTACGGAAAAGCACACATTTCTCTACGCCTATAAAGGGGCCTCATATAGTGTTCATAAAATTTAGAAGTGAATTCGATCCATATTGTTAACTTTACGAGCCACATTGTTAAATGCAGAGACATGACGACTTATGAAGGGCCATTTCACGGTATTTAAAAGTCTCTGAATTAAAAGCTTTTTAAAACTGAATTATGTCCCTCCTTTGAGAAGCAGACGTGATTTTATACTGAATGGACAAAATAATGAATGTTTTTATGCATGTTTTCCATGAAATATAATTGAACATTTGGGTGCACCGAAAATCAATGAGAACAATTCATGCTGCTTAAGTTGTCATTTTTTGCAGAGTGCAGTTACTGCACGCAGCCGGAAGGGAGTTCATTCGAAAGCCGACATCCTGAGGTAACTGAATTATTATGGAATTATGTTGCAGGCTGACCAGGTTTGCAATCCTACTTACTTAATCTTACCGACACGAAAACGCCTTTCGGAATTTCGGTTGGCATTCCATGAGTTAACCCACCTACTGCAAGCTATCGTCCTTGTACGAACAAACTTATACTTATGATTTCCTGTACTGACCAGGGGGATATCTCAGCTGAAAATGAGCAGGCTGATTTGACAAAGATGAATGGATATATTTTCTCCGTTTATTCACAACCGAAAAATTCAAAGGAGTGCATTTTATAATAAGCATAATGAGTACCTATTCCCAAAGTTTTGTGTGGACCTTTATCGCCTGCTATGTAGAACGCGAAAAAACCCATCGCGGCACATTATCTTTACGGGCATTTCAATAGAGTCACTCAAAATGACGATCGCTCTACCTTGTAGGACTAACTCATGAAGCAAAATTACGCGTTCAGTAACCAAAACAAAATACTTAGCGGCACGCAGAGATGTTCTCGTAGAGGAGATGTGGAAGCCAATCAATCTACGCAGGCATGTCGGAAGACAAAAAACTCACTATTCCCTCCACACGGCCCACTTGACCAGAAACCAGTTCCATGAGAATCTTGCGTGCAGAGTTAAAAGGGGCAAGTCATCACAGTGATAAGGTTGCCCCTCGGTACTGTAATCCACGCCTGAAGACTCGGAACAGGGCAACAACACGACTGAGCTGGAGTGATTAGCAAAACAGGCAAATAATTTGTGTTTTAAGCAGTCGCAAAGGTTTATCGACACTTGATATGATATTTTCTTCCTCCTCTGTCAGTGCCTGGTCTGGTATATATATACATATGGTAAATATGGTTAATAAGCCAGAAATGGCCATCCCAGTCGCCCTTCTCTTTGTCGGTAATATCATTTTGTCAATAACATGCGCCGCTGTGCGGCTGCTAGTTGGGCTCGAGAGAGAGTCCATAAAGCACAACGGAACGAGTGAGTTCCGTAAGAACGATCGGTGAGCGCCCCCTACCATTATATATATATGAACTTATGCTTATATATATATATATTCACTCAGGAAGAAGCGCACACAAATTCATAGGCTTCGTGTGCTTGTATTTCCGGTCTCAACTGGCAGTCGGGGTACGACCGGCCGAATTAAGGCAAATAAGTCTGAAACGGTTCTATATCAATTCACCCTAAACTCTTTACTCTCCGCTCCGTATATACAAATGGAGTTGTAGATCAGATTATATATATATACAAGATAAAGAGGCGACCTCGGGCACCATTGGTGTATCTTCATGACGCTTCAAAAGCAATCGAGCTTCCATCAATGGAGGTGATTGTGGTATCGCGCATCAAAGTATTTAGAGGTGGGTGACAGCCACGTTAAGCCGTTCTCAGCATACTTGAGACCGAGATTTTTGAACTCACTGACAGTCGATGGCGCATATGCTTCCTTGTCCATCAAGAGGTTGCCTAGTTTTGTGCAGTACTCAGCCTTATCCATGACGACAGTCGAGCACCCCTTGTCGGCGGAAAGGGTGACGATATCCTCTAGTTGTCGTATTTTAGGAAGTTCTCGATCTTCTGCCTTCAGAAGCAACTACCCCGTTGGCCACAAACGCAATGGTGTCAGAACCCTCTTCCAACGCGTTCAAGCACACTACAGCGACGACAATGGGAGGAAAGAGGAGATTAAGTACTTGCACGCCCTATTTGGAGCCAACGGTTATCCCAAGTCCTTCATACGCAAGTGTCTTAGGAAGCCCCACCCTGAGCAGTCGGAAGGAGAAAACCCGAAGTTTTGGCTCGTAATCCTTTGTGGGAAAAACGTATCAGAGGCGACGGCAAGAATCCTCAAGCCTTTTGGGATCGGTGTGGCTCATAAACCAGAGTCAACAATCAGACAGCAAATAATGAGGCCCAAAGGCCAGCTACCAGTGACAGAACAAGCAGCGGTGGTCTACAGCATACCATGCCAAGACTGTGATGCGAGGTATATTAATGAAACGAGCAAGCTTCTTGGCACAATATTGCATGAGCACCAGCTTGCAATCAACCGCAAGGACAAGCTCTCTATCCTGGGGACCTCCAGGATCAGCACGAAATTCTTCCGTGCATAGAAAGACAGGCTTGTACATACTGTCTATTGTTACCCCCCTCCCCTCCCACCCTCCCGTCTCAGATACCTGCGTGTAGATCGAGTAGCAACAGAGAATGGCAGATGGCGAGACACTGATAAACTTCGGTTCATTGAAGTGCTTATTACCCATCCAGTAGACCCCAGTGGTGGACCAACTGCGCCAGGCGCATCTGGGCGCATGTTTGCGTTTCTGTTCCCAGCTGCTGGGCAGGCTAATTATTGGCTGAATGAATGCAAAATAAGCCCGAAACAGTACTGCATCAATTTACCACATTGTCTGTCCTCCTTCCTCGCTGCCATTATGACTTGGACGACTTCATCCTGGTAATTGGTTGCCTTTCGTGACCTTTGCCACCCATACGAAACTTGTTTGCTTCGTGAAGCCCATAGATCGGTGTGTGTCCATTCCTGATTGATAAATACCCGATCTGCAGCGACAGAGAATGACAGGTGGCGAGGCACTGATGAACTTCGGTTCGATGAAGTGCTTATTACCCATCTGGTAGACCCCAGTGGTGGGTCAACTGCGCCAGGTGCGTCTGTGCGCATGTTTGTGTTTCCGATCCCAGCTGCTGGTCAGGGTTATGATTGGCTGAACGAAAGCACAATATGCCCGAAACAGTACTGTATCAATCTACCCCCCAGACGCTGTCGTCCTACTCGCTGCTATATATATTTATATGTGCCCCACGTGGCCATTCCATAGTAGTCGATTGACATAAACTCAGATGTTAATTGCAATTTCGCGTCTGACAAGAAAAGGTCACTCCCAGGACAGAGACTTCCAAGTCTTCCACTAAATCCTTTGCGAAACTACTTCACTGACATTTCTCCGGACCGCATACACCATAATGCACATTGAAAGCGCTGGAGGTCCTCCTGAGGAGCCGAACCATCACAGGTGCGTCAGGCAGCAGCAGGCACCTCGGCAAGACACGTTTCTAGACTTTAAGCCAATGCCTATGTCGGCGATATGGTAAGGCTATATAAATATATCCCGTT